TCACATTCGATGTAAAATAATTTGTAGTTTTATAATACAGTTAGAACCTCGATTAACCGTCAGTCGTGACCTCGGAACCAGAGCTTTAATCGATAATCAAAAATATGGTTAAGCTAGCAAAAATCATTTTTTAATAATTATGAAATGCATATTGATATAATTAGGTACAACACTTATTGGTACATTATTATTTTTATTAATTTAAAAAGATTTTTTTATTATTTACAATTATATACATTTTCAAAAACAAAATGTGATCACTATTGCAATTGACAGTTTTTATCTCACCCATAAAATATATACTTAAATATATACTGCTTATCTAGTAGATATTGCTGGAATATTCTGGATAAATCTACTCATACACACAAGTAGTCCATGCAAGTGTAGCACCTGACAGTYAACCGAGAAAGACGGTTAATCGGAGGACAGATAATCAAGGTTCTACTGTTAATAATGTATAAAAGAATCTAATGAAGAAGACCAAAAATTTACTATTGCAATTATTGTACAGTCAGGTACAGTTAAAAATTATTGTATTGGTGGCCATTAAATGGAATTATTAACTAATGATAATAATAACGGTCAACATTTCAGTTATTATACCCTGTATTCACTACTCACTGCTTAGAAAATAATAAAATTGTGGACACTTTTTCAAAACAGAATCCAAAATAAAAAATCTTCAAAATTAATTTTTATAATTTAAACATAACATTATTGTTTAAAAACAATTAGAAACTATCATTATTTTTTTTACTACAGATTTAAATGAAAATGTATATTTTCATAAATAATACAAGTTATAAATAGCGTCTTAGGCGGGAAATCGTATTATGCGGGAACAATAAATTATATTTTTTACTTAGCAGAGTGAATTATTACATTTATATTAAATATTATTTTATATTACCTATTTAAAAAAATCATCTATCTTTCTTTGTATCACATTTTTTATGTTTTTTGAAAACAAGAAGTTTTCAATTTTATTAAGATACTGTAACGTTTTGTCAGCATTGTCAAAAGATGCAATGTATTTTTATAATAACATCATTAACAAGACGAGCGTCTTAGCTGGGAACATAGAGCATATTATTCAGGGTTGATTACATGTTAAATTTTGTCAAAATCAAGGGACTCGTAAAAATGAGCGYATTAGCCCGGAAATTGTCTTAAGCGAGAGCTTCTTAAACGGGTTCTACTGTATAGTTAAAATGTTAATGSTGAAAATATTATTAACTAMAAATTACTAATGCATTTAAAACTCAAATAATTTGGAATGTGCAAATTCTACCATAACAATAATCATTAAATTTGTTTTCTAAACTTACTGTAATATTCACATTTTTTGAAGTATTAACAATAAATCTAAGTAAATTTAGATGATTGGCAATTGTTGCAATATGAATACATGCCAAGCCTGGAACAAAAAATACAAATTAAATTTTCATAAAATTTWAAAAAATTCACAAAAATACACAAACTTTATTATTATAAAAAGTGATCCATTTAAGTGGGAACATTAATTATCTTGAAAAGTATATATTTTTTTTAACTTTAGGTTTATGTTTTTCTAAAACCGTATAATATTTAAATTGTTTTCACCCTTATATTTATTGGTAAAACCACCACTACAACTTTTGATTTTCAAATGGCAGCATATAATAAAAATATCATGAATTAATAAAACCATTTTTATCATGAATGTACATGTYAACATTTTTATTTTTTGTTGATTAGTTTGCGAGATACAACTCCTCAAAGTATAGGTAGGTTTTACTTTTTTTCCAATAATAATTGTTAAGACCAGGAACTAGTGATAAATCTGATATTGTTGAATCCAAGGTAACAAAAT